CCGCATATTATAGGATGAAGTCCAAAGGCTGGCTGGTGTGCCATGGAAATCCACAGAAATAGATTTTTGGTGGTTTCCTTTAATCCTGTGAGATGCACAAGCTGGACATTGATTTTTGTTATTGCATTAGACTTTACAACAATGAATGGCCCACTCAGCAATTGCTCTGTTCTGTACATTCCCTTTGAAACATCTGGCCCAACCATGGTCAGCAGACAGGATAGTAGGATGGGCCATTAGTCTGACCCAGTAAGGCTGTTCTTAACTGATGACAGACCACAGTGACAAGGAAAGATAAACAAGTATAAAGCAACAGCAACAACAACAACAAGCTCCAAACCCTAGACTATAATTGTAATGAAGCTGGGAAGGAAAGCAGCCACTGAGAGAACCAGTTAGAGAGAGGGAACTCAGAATTCTTGTGTCTCAGGCAGGAAAAGTGGCACAATGTCATTCTCTCGGCCTCTGAGAAAGAGGTACACAACACTGCCTGAGAAATTCCTGCAGCCAAAGCTGTTAAATGGATGCAACAGTCAAAAAAGAAGGCAGATGAGAAAATGGGCAGCTCAGAATAAAAAGGGTGGTTGAAAACCCCATGACTCCACGATGAACAGCTGAACATTTTTGAATTGTTGCCTCAGAAGTATGAGAATTCTTCTTGGCATCACATGCCTTTGATCAGTCCCATGAGAAAAAGAAGGCTCCATTCTATTCAGCTATCTGGGACCCATGTTCAAAAAATTAAGTTGGATACAACCTGTAACTATGTGCATCGTGAAAGCGTGTCGCATGTACCACTACAAGCATTGTACACAGAGGAAAAAGGAAGATTGTTCCAATTTATGCAGTATGGCACAGAGAGAAGCAGTGAGTATATGAGCATAGAGCCCGTGCTGTGATTCTGTGTACTAAAGATAAATGAACAGAGAGGAAAACATTTCTTTCCAAGTTCATATTTAGTTCCTGTGACACCATGTCATCCTTCAACCAGACCAGTATGGCCAGAGTCACACACACAAGAACAAATAAATAGAAATGTATTCAAAATCAAGCAAAAAAGGGCAGGTTACATTTTCCTGTCTAGTTTCCTCTGCCACTGCCAGCATGCCCATTCCCCCCACCTGCGCTACCTCCCGCACATAAACTATTCCTATTAGACTTCCCCAACCATATTCCAATTCCATTTTAAATGTTAGTACAAATCACTGTTTAAAGGCTAAAAAAAACAACAAATGGGCTGGTAACACTTTATAGACTAACAAAACATGTAGATGTGCATCATGAGCTTTCGTGGGCACAGCCCACTTCTTCAGATGACTGGAGTTATGGCAATGTAATTGCCAAAGCAATATGTAATAATTTATTATATGTATATTTGACCATTGAAAAATATTTTAATTATTAAAATGAATTAGAAGGATAGAGATATATTTTCTGTTTCAAGTATTTTAACAACATTGTCATCAAGGTCATTTATAGATGACATAAAAATCCTGCACACACTTACATCATCTGGAGATATGCGATGGATTCTGGTAAGTAATTACTGAAATATAATGTGGCACACACTGAGTGACCTGGAATACTGCATCCTGTCCTAGCCAATCCAGCTAAAAAAGGCTATTGCAGAAATTGACCGGGTTCAGAGAAGGGTGACAAGTATAAATAGGGGAGTGGAAAAACTCTTGTAGTAAGAGATTGCAATGACTGGGACTGCTTACTTTAGCAAGAAAACAAATTAGAGGTGGCATACTAAGTGTACAGAATAATTAAGGGTAGAAAGCAGATACATTGGAACTTCAGTCACCTTCTCTCATAATATAAAAACTAAAGATTCTTTAATGAAACTGAACAGTTGCAAATTCAAAACTGATAAGAGGAGGCACTTTTTCCAAACAAGCCAACATCTAGCCACCAGAACTCATTGTGTCACAGTCATAGAACCAAATAGCTTAACAGAATTCAAAAGCACATTGAACATTTATATGGCTGACAAGCACATCCAGACTTACACTAGTATATACATAAGAATCCCCTCCTGGTACAGGAGCATGTTGGCTTAGATTCGCAGTTTGCCCCAAGACTCTTCTATAGTTTTACTTACTGAGCCCCAATCCCACATCCCCAGCAGTAAGAATACTGCATGGCGTCAAACACCTGGCAGACGTGGTTAGTGGAGAAATACAAAGTGTGCTCTGCTGTTTATTGAAAGTTAGCAGACTTATCTGGCATTGCCCACGTCCTTCAGGGCAGGGGGCTAGCAGTGTACAGGGTGCAGAAGTTAGGGCAGGGCCTTGGGGATGTGGGGAGGGAGAGTGCAGGAACCTGGGGATGGAGAGGTGTGGAGGGGCTCTAGGCAGGGGATTCTATACAGCATAGTCCTTTTCTTTCCTCTCAACCACCCAGGCCATCGGAGCCTTTTTCTCCCCCTGTACTCTTAGGCCACCAGGGGCCTTCCCCCTGCCCTCCAGTGCTGCGGCCAAGGCCATGAGGGGAGAAAAGGGTTTGGGGCAAGGGGGCTACTTACCCAGTGTGTTGGCAGGCAAGATGGTGGAGTCCCCGCCCTGCTGACCACTCCCTTGATGGAACAGCTGCCACCAGTGGTCACTCTGTAGTATAGCTCTCTCCGGTGGGATTCACCGTCCCCAGTGGTCACTCTCATATCAAGTCCATCCAAACAGCAGCCCCTACTTTGCATGTTATGGAAAATTGTCCTTTCCCTTGGGTTCTCCTGGCACAACCAAACTCTGACAGAGTGTGTGTGTGTGTGTGTGTGTGTGTGTGTGTGTGTGTGTGTATAAATAAAAGAGAGATAACTGTTGGGGTACTTCTGCTGGGTTACAGGGAACAACAAAATTATTCAAACATTATATATTTGAAGTGGCAGGTGAGGCTAGTATAATTCAACACACCAATGATACACCTAATTCATTTGGGTATTCAAAAATGAGTGCTGAGTGGTACAGAGATCCTCCTGCCTAGCTGAGGAGAAAACAAGAGAATGAAACTGTACCAGCTTGGACCGGGGGTGGGGGGGAAAGAGAAGAGAGGAAGAGGACAACAAATCATGTGGTCACATGGGAAGTCAGAGCACACATCTCAACATCACAAGGAACAGCCTTTAACCTTATTATGCAGAGCTATAATTTGTGTGAGTGAACATTTTCAGTTGCCTCTACTTCAAAGCTACTGATGATAGTTTCATTATACAAGTCTTTTCTGCATTTCGGAAACAAATCAGCCACTCTCTTATTTGTGCGAAAGATCATTCTTACAACTTAAAAAAATTGAGTCAGCAAAATATCATTTGGAGGAGTGCCTTAAAATCATGTGCTCTAGACACAAACATTTCAGTAAAGGAAGATTCACTGTTTAGTTCTGGTGTGCATTATGTTATGGTGAATGGCTACCTCATATTTACATAATGGAAGATACACATTTTGAAACCACATTGTCTCATTCTCACTGTGAACCCCTGACAGTTGGTCACTGTAGTTATACAGATTTTGTATGTATATAATAAATATTACAGGCAAGTCATTTCTGCACTTCTTAATTGCACTGGTAATTTTCTATAGAAGTGGTGTGCAACCCATGGGTCGCAACCTTCAAGGGGGTCGTGGATGTCTTCCGTGGGGGGTCACCACGCCACACGGCTGCCAATGGCCGGGCCCAGCCCCCAAATCTAAGCACCATGTGGCCACCAACAGCTGGCCCAGTCCCTGGCCGCCCGGATCTAAGTACCACGTGGCCGTCAACGGCCGGGTCCAGCCGTGGGGGTCACGGTTGAAAAAAGTTGCGCGCCACTGTTCGATAGTATGGCAGGGTTTTGTTCTCAAAGAGCGTTATTTGTAGCATGAACAAGCCTGGGATTATATGATGTGGGATGCAGGAGTATAGATGTCTGCATAAGAGAACAGAATGAAGAAGGGGGGGGGGGGGGGGAGAGGGACTAGGATATAAAGTAAGACAAAGACTATGTCTATACTACAGTTTATGGCAGCATAACTTATGTCACTCACAGGAGTGAGTAAATAACTCCTCTGAACATAAAATGCACCAAAAATCCTGCTTATGGCTGCTCGTGTAGTTGAGCCAATGGGATAGCTCTCTTCTGACATCATAGAGCAGCTACATTAGGGAGCATCTACACTACAGGGCTAATGCCGAAATACGCTACACAACTCGAGCTACATCAATTGCATAGCTTAAATTGAAATAGCGCCAAAAGCCAAAATAAACTAGCTACACAGCAGGAAATCCAAGAAAGAGCACTCTTCCTCCAACTTTCCTGTAACCCTCATTTTAAGAGGAGTAAGGGAAGTTGGAGGAAGAAATCCTCCTGCTCGACATTATCTGTAGCTGTGCTTTCAGTGACTGGAGGAAGGAGTTAGGCATCAGGCTACAGCTTCTCTTCCTTCCATAACCTTGGAAAAGATTCCCCAGCTGTAGTCTCAGTTCACTCATCTGGAACGCACGCAACACTATTCTATCCCCCAAAGGTGCTGAGAGGATTGAAATCATAGCATTAAGGTGCTGTAAGTGTAAAATTCGACAGGGCAGCTCCTCTACTGTAGTTTGTATTTCTTCCAGGAACTACTTCTGCTGTTTCTCAAGGCTGCAGGCGCAAAAGAAAAGGGGCATAAACCAGTAAGTAGAGTGAATGCATTTGTTTACACATCTTACAAAAATTACTAAACTTCTCTCTAATAGAAAAGTTCCTGAAAATGGAAAGAAGATAGTGGACAACAGAAAATCCATCTTCCACTAAGGTGACAGAGCCGCAGAACATAGATATAATTAATAGCACCATAAAGCTAGCTCTTATCACTTCATATTTGCTATTTTAATTGTAGTGCTGCCCAGGCACTGCTAGGTACTTTCCAAGCAGAATAGGATAGTCCCTGCAATGAAGAACATTCAATGTTGACTAACAATTCTATTATTTGGAGAAAAAAATGCAAACTCACTAGGAAGGAGCTAAACAGAGAACTCACATATTCATTCGAGGCACTTGGTTTTATTTTTCAAAAAAATTGTCTTTATATATAAACCATTTCATTCTCTCTCAAAACATTCTACAACTATACAGCTGTTTGCTCCATCATTTGCATAGGAAATACCACAAATACAAAAATAAGAGGGAGAAGGTTGAGGAAAGAAGCAAAACAGTAACCAATTTATGCGTTTCCATGTATAAACATTTGAAGCCTTACAAAAATTATTTACATCATTTGTCAACTATTTACATTTAAGAGCAATGTTTCTAACTAACAAAAACTATAATTTATCAAGTGTATGTAAAATTGTCTTTAAAAAGTCATCCATATACCACAAAATAAATAAAAAGACAGAACAACAGTTTTAACAAAGCTATTTTTTCCTTTGAGACCCTTTTTGGTTGTTTATTCCACCTACTGGTTGACAGAATGAGAAATCACAGCTTGTGAGATGGATAGGTGTTATCATTTCCTTTATGTTTTATACATTTTGGCCAAGTCCTAGTGTAACCTCATTTTTGGACCTTCATTTCCTATTTCAAGACAGAACACTTGACTAAATTCACTGTTGGCATAAAAAGTCAGAATTCCACTGACTTCAGTTGCATCTATTTATGTCAAGAGTGACTTATCTTATGTCAATGTTAACAGTGGATTAACTAAAAACTGCACTGTAATTTTAAATAAAATTACTGTATCCTTTACCTTCTGGTAAATTACATGCAAACATCCACATGAAACTAGATCATGCTGGTGCTAAACCAGCTTAACATGTCAGTCTATGAAAATTGCATCCTAAATCCTTCTTTTTAAAGTGATACTAACTTTAGCTTATAGTAAGAGGTTTAACATTCTGCATAATGTAACTATCCTCATTATTTAAGCTTCCAACATTTGCAGTTCATTCTAAATGTTTTGCCCTTTTAAAGCATCTTGAATATTCAGTGCACAACATTTATATTAAGATACAAAATGTCTGAATGGTTAGTTCATTTTTTTTCTGAAAACGAAACTAAGTTGGTAATGTTTGGAGAGGTATTTAAATAAATGTAATTGTAAATGTGCCATATCAAAATGTACAATGTCTGAATGTTTTTAGAGCACTCAGAAAAAAACGTTTGTAATAAACCTTAAAAAGCTGATTTTCATATTTACAAAATCGTCGTCATGGCAAACATGCAACATACTGAACAAATATTTTGTTCTATGGCTGCTTATGAATTCTTCTTTATATTTTATCTCCTTAGAAAGACTTAACATTAAAAAACCCCCACAGAAGTACTAAATATGCCCAGTAAAAACCTGACAGACTACAATTCATGGCTTGTCCTCTGTGTTAGTTTGTCTATGTCCTCCCATTAATTCATTTACTAAACATTGCCACAATAATGACAGTGCTTTGGTCAAAACACCGTAAGAAAATAATCTATAACAATGCAATGTGTTGAGACATAATACTTGAGATGAAACCTGCTGACTAAAGCCATATACATGATCAGAGCAAACAGAAAATGACTGAACACTCTGGTACTGTGATTCAGTGTTTTCCCCGTTTCCTCATAAATATACAAAATATACATTTCCAGTTTCTTTGGAGATTTTTTTTTTAGATGGATTGTCCATAGTCAAAAATTAAAACTAATTCTAACTGCACATTGAGAGTCACTAGGAAATTGCATAGATACAAACAGCTTCCACATCAAGCCCAGAATTTAGTTCTGATGTCTTTTCATGTGCAGGGCCAGGTGGTCAGAGCGAGAGAAGCTACGATTGCACACAGCGCACTGGAAAGGTTTGGCGCCTGTGTGCTTCCTGTAGTGGCGTGTCAACTCATCAGAGCGAGCAAATCTCCAGTCGCAGCCATCCCATGTACATTTGTATGGCTTCTCACCTGAAAAATTGGGAACACAGAAACAAACTGTTAACTGTTTTTCTCCTGTGGAGTTGCAGCTAAGTGTTGCTACTAATTGCCATTTCTTTTTCACATTAAAGGGGCAGGGGAAATACAGTTCCTGAGGATCCCCAGCTCTATTTAAAACTTGAAGATTAATCTTTGCTAGAAGTTCACACAAAATTGGGCTTTAAAATGATGGTTAACAGAGACCACCACCAACATAAGCTGATTAGATACTTTTTGTAATTGGGTAAAAAAAATTACACACACACACACACACACACACACACACACACACAGAAATCACCACACCCAACTGAAAGATACACTCTCTCACAAGATAGGGAAGAGAGAATCATTCCAGAATCTACTCCATCTTAAAAATATACAAGTTATAAAAATTTTCAAATGCTATAAGTTACAGAAACATATTTCAGATATAGTTTAAATGGGGAGAAAGGTTACTATAACATTATTTACAATATAGAGATTTAAGAGCTTCTGATGTTAAGTAAAACTAGAATTGGTTATGTGATATGTAGCAAATCCAATGGAATAATATTTTCTATAATTAAAAAAGAAAAAGGACAACTAATAACTCTGCAATAAAAATGTTGTGGCCTTCGGGGGGGGGGGGGGGGGGGGAAACCCCACACATTTAAAAAAGATGCAGGCCCAAGTTTTCAAAATTGGATGTCTAGAATTAGGTGCTTACATAGCCATATTTTTCAGAGTTGCCAACCCCCTGCTATTTCTATTAACTTACATGGACATGACCAGTGCATAGCACCTCTGGGAAAAATAAGACCACATTTATAGAAGTGCCGAATATAGATTGAATTGCCCAGCTTAAGGCAGCTAGATTGGAACATGTTGGCCAAAATACCTCAAGTATTTGCATTAATCCATTTCAGAATTGAACATTTTAAGCAGACCTATAATTTGTAGTGATGTTTGCTGAAATATTGGGGAAAATACCAAGTCAGAGTCAAGGTAATTTCTCTCTCCGCAACTGCAAACCAGTTTAAAAAAAAAACAAAAAAAAAAAACTCATCTGCTGTGAAGCTGTCATGTATTGGATGTCACCCTAAAAAGAGACTAACATTTTTTATATAAATAGAGAGCTAGGATTACCTATTTATAAGATCATATTCTGAACTAATCTAGTCAACTGAAAGTATCTAGATTAGAGTTCTCGATTTAAAAAATAATAATAATAAAAAAAAGGACCCCCCTTTGAAAGAGAGAACTGGTCTAATCCAGAACTCTCTTGTCCAGAAATATTCGTCATCCAGAATGATTTTAGTTAGCCGGATTTCCACTTTTCACGGGTGTGGCCAAGTTTCCTGCAGTTCCATAAAGTTTGTTCACAGCCACCCCTAAATGTCCTCTAGCAGTACAGTAAGCAGTGGAAGTGTTGGTAATGTTGCCAGACAATACTGACCTCCCATAGTCCAGATTCTCTCATTTGGAACTGGTCAGGCCCCAAAGGTGCCACACTAGAGAGGTTCAACCTGTAAAGCACTCAGCATTGCCTTAATTGCTCCACTGAAGTGAATAGTAAATATTTCATTGACAAGTGCGAACAGAGTTAGGCCAGTGTCAAGTGCTTTGAAAAATCCCACCCAGAGTACCTTGTGAACCACACCACGTTCCTTCTAGTTTGGATCACATGGACATTCTCCCCTCCCACTCACATCCAATTAACAATCCTCAAACCCAACTAGAGCTACAGGCAGACCCCGGGTTACGTACAAGATAGGGACTGTAGGTTTGTTCTTAAGTTGAATCTGTATGTAAGTCGGAACTGGCGTCCAGATTCAGCCGCTGCTGAAACTGATCAGTTTCAACAGCAGCTGAATCTGGACACCAGTTCCAACTTACATACAGATTCAACTTAAGAACCCCAGGCGTACCCAAGTCAGCTGCTGCTGAAACTGATCAGCAGCTGATTCCAGGAATCCCGGGGCAGAGCAACTCTGCCTAGG